CCTCCCCCTCCCCCTCCCCCGGGCCCTGCGCCATCACCTCTATCATCACCGTCGCCTCTGTCATCGCCTTTGTTGTCAGCGTCACCTCTATCATCACCCGTGGATGCATTGGTTCCCGATGCAAAGAAATCGTCGTCGTCGCTGGATGTGCTGTCGAACAAGAAGTCACCCTCGTCCCAACGCATGCGGGCCCTGCGAATGCCACTATCCGTCCGCTGTCGCCGAGTCCGAGGAGCGGAACCTGCATCGCCACGTGTACGTCCTCCGACACCTGCTCGTCCACGGCCGCCACGTCCCCGACCACCAGCCCTGCGTCGCCTCCTGTCCGACTCCGCCACCCGACGCTCGGCTCCCATGCGGGAAATGGCGCGCATCCTTTCTCTGGCGAGGCTCAACTCCTCCTCGGTCACCTTCGCCAGAACACCGRTGCCTCTGACGAGCTGCTGGTCCACGGCTGCCTCGTCCTCCACGGCTTGCCAATAATGCACCCATTTCCCAAAGACGTCGGGCCTCTCTCCAACACCATCGTCGCACAACGAAGGTCGACCGAGTAGCCTGAGGTTTCAGTGGCACCGCACAAGCTTCTCAGCCCGGGGAACCTCCAACCTGTTGCGAGACTTCGAATGAATGAAGCTCCAACGAGACCACACTCTCTCTCACGGTGAGGCGGTCGCCCATATACGAAGGATCCTGCCTGCAAACACGGCCGTGTGAGGGAACTTCGCCTTCTTTGAGGACCAAAAACTGGCAGGGTGATCAAAGATATCCGCAGCTCGCCGCATGGTGAGCTCATCGAAAGGGGGCTCCCTCGTGTGGAGCTTGGCTCCCGCTCGTTGGACCTCCCGATGCTGCGGCGAATCCTCCGGGTAGCCGAACTGGACAAGGGCCTCGACCAAGGCCTGCTGCACCTCCGCATCGTCACAAAGTGTCGCGTCCCGGAACTCTGGATCTAGCAGCATGGCTGCCGTGTGGGCGGGGGTCTTGAACATGGTGCGCCGCCTGTGGAACACCTCCACAATAGCGTCCTGCTGCTCCTGATCAATGTCACGACATGCGGATAAACAAGATGCAATCATTTCCTCGTAACGTCGCAAAATCTTGTTGATCTGGCGTGTGTCGCTGTCCACCAACTTCAGCATGCCCATGATGGGCTCTAGCATCTTGCACAGAGCTCTCAAATCCTCCCACCATGGACGGGAGCGGATACATGCAGTGACCTCTGCTGCATCCTTGCGGATCTTGCTGGTCGACCAAACAGTCTCGCGCCAGCGATCGTCGGCCACAACATCTGTCAACGCGGCCCGCAGTGCCACCAGCCTCTCCATAATGATGACGTTCGTGCCGAAACGCGTCTCCGCCGGTAGCAGAAGAGTCTTCGTCGAGTGCGCCTCAAGAACCTCTCTCGCATGTCCATGGCGCTTGAAGAACCTTGTAACCAGCCTCGCTTGAGAAATGCGGGAAGCCACCCAATCAATCCCGCCGATGTCCTCGAGAATGAGATCCATGATGTGGGCGATGCAAGGAATCCAGAAGATGTGTTTCACGCTCTCATCTTTTTGGAATACCTCTATCGCCGCGACGTTCACCCCGGCGGAGTCCGTCACGAACGTCGTGATGTCGCTCAATTGAACGTCCATGGACTTCACCCTTTTCAACCATGCGTTCGCGAGGGCACTGGTGTCCTTTTTGCCACGCATGACGTCGGTGGACACATACAYCACCCCGATCTCTGTACCAACAAGGTAGTTGCACAACGTCTGACCACGGATGTTGGTCCAACMATCGGTCATGATTGTGCAACCGGTCTCTCTCGACGTGTCAAGCACCGGCCGAACACACTTCTGGACCTCACCATCCAGCTCGTCCAAAAGGGTCGTGCGCAGCATGTGGTACGAGGGAAGTCTAGGCGCGTGCGCCCCTGGAACCCCCGGCGGGATTATCATCGTGAACATGCGTTTGAAGCTTTCAAGCTTCGTGCTGTTGAACGACATCCCGCTCTCGACGATGAACCGCATGATTTGCACATGCCATGCGCGCTCCAAAGGGTCCGAATAATATGACGTGACGGCTTGCTGCCTGTAAGTGCCTCGACATCGTCCCGTCGTAGCTCTCCCGCCGAGGACCCCAGCATCCAACAACCCGCCAGGGCTCACAGGTGTCGCGCTCTGGGCGACTGCAAGGTCACGAATGCGCTGCAAAGGGTCTAACGTTCCGGTTAACACGGGTGGAGGCTGTGGGGCAAACCGACCACCGCCCGTGGTTGTCGGAACAGGGGTCGGCGATGAATCGGACACCGGAGCGGGGACCTCCTCGGCAGGCACCCCATGATCCACCTGTTCCCCGAAACGAGGCACGGAAGCAGAATGTCGAGCATCTGCAGGTGCGTGTGACGGATCCGGGTGGGTGGTTCCGTTAGCGTGGTGGACCATTGGACACTACGCCGCTCTCGACGGTGGCGGTGGCAGCTAGGGGTGCTCCGACGAACTGCAGGGTGATGCGCCAGGTGCCACCGCAGTACCACCCCGTGCGGCATCTGACTGCCTAGCACTCCATAAAACAGGGGCGAGCGCGGGCGCTGAACTGCCGGCACTCCCCCCCCACCTGCGACTCTCAATAAATGCATGTGTGCTCTCCTCGTCAAATTCCGCAGAGCCCACACCATCCCTCAGAGGCGGGGGCTCGTTGGCTGGCGTGGAACGACCAACTCCCACATCGCGAGCACCTCGTGTCCCAGCCAGCGGCGCAGACGGCGGGGCTGTCGGTCGTGTTGCAACTGTTGTTGCAGGATGCGGTACCGTGACTCGAATGGCCGGAGCCCCAGAATTGGGCGATGCGACGGCTCCAGAAGGGGCGGTGGGAGGAACCAGCGGCGGCACTGCGTCCTCGGGGAATCGAAGAGGTGGCCATTGCAAGCTCGGATGACCTGGCAAGTGGCTCTGCAACGTTTCTATGGCCGACGCGAACTCCTTTGGACATTTTGTCATGTCCTTCGACCAGATCGCATTCCACACAGCAGGAGTGGCTGCCTCACATCGGAACTTCTCGCTCTTCGAGAAGTGCTCCTTGGCGGCTTTAGCGCCCCCATAAATCGAACGCCCGCACAACCTGCACAGGCATCGACGACGGCTCTTCCTGCCCGCCGCCGTGGACCCATCCAAATAACGCCCTCTAGCCACGAAATGCCACACCGGGTCGTCCCGCTTGCTGTCGACTGTCGGGTCCACCTTGAACGGCGAGTCAAACGTCTTCGTGTTATGACCTTGTCAAGCGGTCATGAGCGAGTCTACCGGATCCTTCCCCCGGTCCTGCGACATGATGAAAGTCGCCAACCGCGAAAAAAAAAGACGATGTCGGAACCCTCTGAGAATGTTGCCAACTCGCAACAGAGATCGAAGTCGGCGTCAGAGCGGCAAAGAAATGCTATGAAACAGGCAAAAACGATGAACGCAAAGTGCAGAACACCTGGACATCAGAGGGAAAACACAAGACGACATGAAACAAAA